ATCCACCTGCTGGGTTACAGACAAGCTGTATTTTTGTCTGTTTGTTTTCTTAAGTCTGTCTTAGGTTATTATTTACATATAGCCAAATATCCATATTTTAAGTGTACAGTTTAATGAGTCTTACACAACTCTAGTCAAGACACATTTTTATTACCCCAAAAAGTTTTCTTATGCCTCCTTCTAGGAAATCACCCCACCAGAGGTAATACTATTTTCTTTTAATTGTTTTGATTTTTATTGTTTAATCACTCAAATCAGTAAGTACTACATTGTAGCACCCCAGAAATGCCTCGTCCCAGTCAGTACTTATTCCCATAGGTAACTGTGATTCTGACTTTTATCTTCATAGATCAATTTTGCCTGTTCTCGAAATTTTTGTATACATGGAATTATTATGCGTTCTTCTTTTTTTCTTCTTTTGCACAGCATAGTCTTCTTTTGATATATTAGTCCATGTTGTATATCAGTCATCTGCTCCTTTTCCTTGCCGTGTAGTATTCCACAATATGTATGTGCATCAAGTAATTTATCTATAAGCATCCACCTATGTCTGGCTTGTCCTCTGATTTCCTCCTCTTCAGCAGCTTCTGAATCAACTTCATTCTCTCCTTATCCTTCTTTTCCTCCTTGAGTAAAAGCTAGAACATGAGCCCCTGGCAACCAGGACTGTGTGTTTTGGGGGGTAGGACAGCGAGTGACATGTAGCAGATACTCAACGCTTGTATGACGAGTGCATGGATAAGTGTTCAGAGCACACCGTTTGCCAGTCTGGCTCTGCATGGTGCCTTCCCAAGCATCACAGAGCTACCGGATCCCTAGGACGATCTCTTTGCTCACAGACTTTGTATGAATTTCTGGCCCCATAGATCTTGCTTAAGCTCTGTCTCTAAGAGCCTCCCTAAACTTTAGACCAGAGTAGGTCCCATCACAGGCCTCCTGACTGTTTCTGTCACCCCCTCCATCAGGATTCTCTTTATTGTCAATACTGCTTTAATTGACTGCTTCACCCTGGGAGTCATGGGTACAGACAACCTATATTTCTTTCACCACTAAATTCCAATCATGCGGCACTCTGTCTGGCATGTGAGAGGCACAGACTACACACGAGTTGGGGTTTCTTTCACAGGGGCCTTCTCTCTGCCAGGTTGCTCATCTCAAGACTCCAGCAATTAGATGATGTCCTTTATGGAGAGAAAGATGGATTTGAAAACATGGCCTCTGCTGTGCACCCCCCAAATCCCCAGTCCATATGCTGAAGCCCCAACCCCTAATGTGATGGTATTAGGAGGTGAGGCCATTGGGAGGTGATTGGATTTTAATGTGGTCGTGTGTGCAGAGCCCCTATTATGGGATTAATGCCCTTATAAGACAAGGAAGAGACCAGAGCTCTCTTTCTTTCTCTGTACCGTGGGAGGACACAGCATGAAGGCAGCAGTCTGCAAACCAAGGAGAGGGTCCTCACCAGGAACTGAATCTGCTGACACCCTGATCCTGGACTTCCCAGCCTCCAGAACGATGTGAAATAAATGTCTATTTTTTTAAGCCACCCAGTCTATGTTATTTTGTTATAGCAGTCCAAGCTAAGACAGCCTCTGTGGAAGATTTCTACTTCAGATATAACATTTCATGGGCAGGGTCATGTCTTTTTCCTTTAAATATATTAGCCCAGGTGTTGAGTCTATGAGTGTACTAGGTGGGTCATGATCATGGGAACCTAGACATTTACTTGGTGCTGTCCTGTGGAAATCTTAGCTTGTGTATTTTCACCCCTATGTTTGGGGACCTGGGGGCCTGGAAGTACTAGATCAGTGACCCACTACATCAAGTTCCATTTCCTTACACTATTGTGCTCCCAACTTCTAGCCCCTGCAACAAAGAGTGGCATCAGGGTCCCAAAGAAGTGTGAGCTATTAGGTCATCTGTCAGCAGAATCTCTGTGAATTTCCTTTATTCTCAGCATAGACTCTTCCACCATTCATGCGGGGGCTTCAAAAGGGTTCATGAATTCCTGAAATGGTGTGCAGAACTCTAGGTAATAATGCTTATGTGCATTTTCCTGAGAAGAGAGTCTGGAATTTCTTACCACATTTTCATAAGGGCCTAAACATCCCCAAAAGTTAAAAGACTTCTGGTATAGATTTTCTTTAATGATCCTTCCGGTTAATCGCTTAAACATCTCAAGTACAAGAAGAGAAAAGGAGGGGCAGGAATGCTACCTGGGCCCTGAATTCTAATGCTGTGTCCACATCTCCTTCTAGCTTAACGGGTGTTGGGTTCTCCCTGGGCCTTGGTTTCCTTTCTGATGACTCTAGTGGTTGGATTAGGTGGCTTCATAGAGTTCTTGCACTGGTTGAACAGTTCATCTCAGATAGAGAGGACAGTGGACTCAAATAAACATGGTCTTTTAAAAGGTGGTGCTTACCACCCAAAATCATTCTGTGTCTCAAGCCTGCTTGTCTTTGAACTTAAGTGTTCCCTCTAAAGAATGCCAATTATAAATCAACAAAGTACTAAAAATGGAGAAAAAACAATAATCTGATGGCTTCTTGGTGCCAGATACAGGAAACACTAGGATGTACTTCATGATATATTCTTGAGGGGACAGAGGGAGAGATCATTGCATTGGCTAATCTGTACAGCGACATGTAAACCAGGAAGTCATTTGAGATGGAGACATTTATACCCTTGAGGGAATGTCTGTTACTACACTTGCACGTACCATCAGAAATACATGAAAAGAAACTAAACGTTTAGAAAGACTGATACTTTTTTTTTCTTTTTCTGGTGGTCAGCAATTTACTGCTAGTGCCTGAATTAGGAGACCAAAAACCATGGTAGAAAGTTGATGGAAGAGAGCTTAATGTGGCCACTTGCTCAAGCCTTAAAAGTATTGAAACCTGCTGATCTTAATTCTGCCAGGGCCAGCCTGTGAATAATTATACTAAGGAATTGGGCAGAGTCATCACAGAGCTACAAAATATCACCCCTGGGGCCTCATTGGAGACTGATGGGAGCTCTGGAGAGTTGATAATGGTGATCAAAGGGTCTATATATTTAAAATGCACAAAGGATGAGCCCAGAAATTATCTGCCTGCCAACTTAACTTCTCTACCTGGAACAAATTATCCAAAAATCAATTTGCAAACACCTTTGAGATAACAAGGCCTTGAGTAATAACCTCCATGGCTTTGTAAGGAAAAGCATCTAGCTTGACTAATCTGCTTAATTTCCTCCTCTGAACAAATGGCAGGCTATAATAGAGGCCGTTTGAACTTGTCCTTTAAGATTTGCTTCGAGTCATACTGAGAAAATATTGTCCACCTCTGTTTCATAGCAATTATTCTGTTTCTGGAGAAACTTTGTTACTAGATAATTAATTAGAAAGAAAACACTGCATGAGTCTTAGCTATCCCAAAGCTCTCACCTGAGTTCCAAACTGAAACTGATACCTACCTTACCCACCTGCATAACCCAGAGGCCCTTCAAAAGTTACTGAACAAATCCACCTTGTCCAATACTCCCAGATGCCTTCCCCACTCTTCACTTCCTAGTTCTACTCCAAGAATCATTAACTTGTTCATACCCTCTGAGAAAATAATCCCATTCTTGGAAGTTGGTCCTAAGAAAAAATGAAACTAAAAGGACTGGAGTCATTTGCACAGAGATGTTCATTGCAGCATTATTTACCATAGCAAAACTTGAAACAACTCATGGGCCCAACAACTGGAGAATAATTGGTGTGACTATCTATCTGATGGACTGTTCTGTAACTGTTAAAGACAGTGATGGTAAAATCCACATCGTATATAAACAAAGTCATTTGGATATAATAAGTGAGGGAAGAAAAGAACATCTACATTGGGTCTATGTGTTGCTATAACCATATGAAAAACATTTAAGTATATGCACAGAAACTGGAATGGAACGTGGAGAAATAAAAATGGAGGTTATATTAGGAAGTAGGGAAGGGGGCTTATTTTCTCCTCCTCACTTTTTTATTGTTCCACTGCTGTTTTTGGCTCTGAATAATAATAACATACACATCCACTTTGATTTTTAGGAAATGGTTATCAAGAAGCAGACAGCCTTTCAAGGGGAAAGCTGATCTGGGCAGGCATGCAGACATGGGTCCCATCTTGCCTTACCTGCTCCACTATCTTGGTTAGGTGATCTGATCACTTGGATTCCCAATTTTTTTTATCCATCAAAATGGAGGTGATAATGTCCCAAGAATTACACTAAGTAATATATGTGAGATTTCCTGGTAAACACATACAAAGTAAATGTTAATTTCTGCAGCTTTGCCAGTGAGCTCAAAATTGCCAGAAAGAGGCCACCATTAATCCTGGTTGAAATTCTAGTCTAGTAAGTTGAAAATATAGAACTTACACATAGAATGGAAGAGAGGTGGCAACGCAAGATAATTCAGTATGACTTTTTCACTGACCCTTGATTCCCACTGGGGCCCCTGTGGCCAGTGACGCTCCCTGCTGGAGGAAACTGCTAGGGTCGAGGAAGAAGCTGCATTCCTGTTAGGCCATCATCCTATTGCTACTTAGGCTCCTACCACTATTTGGGAGAAAGTCCACTAATAGTTGGTATGTTCCTATAAAAGAAAGATTTGTAAACCTCAGATTCCCCTGGGTTTTGAACCAAACTCCACTTTAGTAAAGGCAAGTTCTCATTTGAGGATAGAAAACAGAATATTAACCCAGATAGCTTTACAGTGTTCAGGAAAAATATTTTCCTCAATGTTTCCTTCTTTCTTTCCTTTCTTTAAATGAAGGAGATATGGTGGGTGTTGAATATAGTTACTGAAGAAATACTAATTCAAGTATTTACATACAGTTAGTTAATTAAAGTAGGACATGGGTGGGTTGAGAAAGGGATTTGGGCTGTTTTCTGTGGCTGTCTGGAATTCCATCCTTTGTCCTCACAGTTTGGAGTCTGCTCTGTGGATCATTTGGGTCTGATGTCCTTTGCTGATTCTTGTCTTTCAGAGCCTCCCACACCCATCGCCCCCCCAGAGCTGCTGGCTGTGGGGGCCACATACCTGTGGATCAAGCCAAATGCCAACTCCATCATCGGAGATGGCCCCATCATCCTGAAGGAGGTGGAATATCGCACCACAACAGGCACCTGGGCAGAGACCCACATTGTCGACTCTCCCAACTATAAACTGTGGCATCTGGACCCCGATGTGGAGTATGAGATCCGGGTTCTACTCACGCGACCAGGGGAAGGGGGCACCGGACCACCAGGGCCTCCCCTCACCACCAGAACCAAGTGTGCAGGTAGGACCCTGCTTCCTGACTACATTTTGAGAGGTTGGGCAGCTGCTATGAGTGATCCTCCTCTTGGCGTTCTGTGACAGTCATTCCTAAACTTCTTTGATGTGAGTGTGCTTCCTGGTGTAGAGAAAAGCAGTCAGAGTTTTGGTCTTGCCTTAGAGGACCTCCTGGCTCTGGTGGCATCTCTGGGAACCTTCTGGCTTTGACTGTGATTGTAAGAACCGCCTGACTAGCTATGTTGTGGAGATGTTCCTGATTCTGATAATGTCTCCAATGGGACACTGGTTCTCTGTCTCCAGGGGCTCCTTGTGCCATCGGTGCGTCTCAGACTGCCCAGTGCTGATCATGTCTCTGAGTGCTCTTGGTTCTTTGTCTCTGAGGGTTCCAAGCTCTGGTTGTATCTCTGAGGGCTTCTGGCTCTGATGGTGTGCCCTGAGGCCTCGTTTGGATTATCTCTGAGTGTTTCTGGTTCCTGTTGCCTGTCTAAGGTGTTTCTGATTTTAGTTTTGCTCCCAAGGATTCCAGGGCTGGGTCTGTGACCCTAATAAGCTCTTGGTTTTGACAATTTCCCTGAAGGTTCCTGGTTCTAGTTCTGTTTCTGAGGGGCTCCTGGTCCCAGCTACATCTTGAGTGCCTCCTGGTTCTGAAAGTGTCCCTCAGTGGATTCTGGGACTTCCTTAGCCCCTGAGAACCTCCTGGCTCATGTCCCTCCGGGGCTTCTGGCACCTACCTAAGAGTCTGGGTGGAGACTGTCCCTCCAAGGGTCTTATGGATTCCACGTCCCTACAGACTCCTGGCTCAGTCTTCCCTCTGGCCAGGCTCCATCTGTTTCTCTGAGGCTTCTGGTTGCTGCTTAAGAGTGTCCTCGCTGGGACCGTGTCTGGGAAGGTTCTTTGTCTCCAACTATATCCCCAAGGACCCCAGGCTTCTGTGGTGTTTCTGATACGAGGTGTCGCCTGTAGTTGTACCTTTGACTGTATTCCTGAGATGTTCTGGCTCTGAATGCAGCTCCAAAAATTTAAAGGACTTAGTGTTTTGTGGGGGGTTTTTTTGCAAGTCACATTATTTTATCTCATTTTTCCTCTCTAAGTAACCATTTGATACAAGTACTTTTATCTTTATGTAAATGAAACAATAGCGACTGTATTTTTGACTTTCTATCCAAAGTCATAGAATTGGCCAGTAACACAGTCAGAATTTGCACCCAGGTTTTCTGACACTAATGGCCTTGATCACTGGTCACACCTTGGTGCATAAATGGAGAGTTATGTGCCATTAGCGTGGTATACAGAGCTGGGGGTGTTCAGTGGGAGATCAGGGAAGTGTTCACTTCCCTGTGTAAGCCAGGCCACTGGCTTCTGAGGGAAAAGGAATCCCTGACAACTCCTGGGTGGGGAGAGAAGGACCCATCTGCACGGTGTTTTCCATGGAACAGAAAGAAAAGTAAAACACAGTCAATTCAGCTGTAATGCAACATGCATATGCCTAAAATTCCCTGCATTATTCAGAGTTATGCAATAAAAGACACTGGGTTCATGGGGGAAAGCGGGGTTGGGGCACAATGCTCCAAAAGAGAGGAATGTAGGAAAAGCTGCGGCACATTGTGCACGTGTTAATGGCTAAGCTGTGCGTAAATACTGCAACACAAAGGGGGTGTTACCTTGAAACATCCATAAGTTTGCTTGTGGGAAGTGGGTGTCGGAAAGGCTGCAGCCTGTGAGCTACTGTGCAGTGGTGAAGGAGGGCTGTCTGAAAGTGGGAGTGAGTCGTGACACCACGTGTGGATCATAACACACACCATGAACGGAGGGAGCAAGTAGATGTTTGAGGTGGGTGCATCTTGTGTATGCCTGCGTGGCTCAGTTTAGCTGGGTGCAGTTTTCTGCTTCACTGGTGTTTCTGTGATCAAACTAACACATAACAAATGTGAAATTCGTTCTATGCTCAAGTTGTTCCTTAATATATCAAGTGTGTTGGAAGACATTTGTGTTGTCAAAACAAGTGTTACAGCAGAGTTGACTGCAGCCATTCTTAAATATCTCAGTAGTGCATCTTGGTAGCATGTTTCTCAAAGCTAGTGTTTCTGTTACTGGGGAAGATTCCTTTGAATGGCATTGAACCACTTACGATGAATGGAGATACCATTTTCTCGATTATTTTCTAAAACAGGCCTTTGGTAAAATTCCTCATTGAAACCTGATTATGAAACTTACTACTTTAATAAGACATAAGGATATGTTATTAAACCAGGTAATACCTTATCTCAGCTTTGCAATTCAATAGTCACCCATAAAAATAATTGATTTGATCCTGCCGATGAGACTTTTCTCTTTCCACAGGGTTTCCAGGGTTTTTGATCTTTATAAATGATATTCAAAGCACTTTAGCAGCCCCCACGGACTTATTTGCTCATGATCATATAATACATTTTGAAATTCAATCACAAGATGATCATCTCAATAAAAATTTACAGTCTATTGCAAATTGTTGCCACGACTGTGTAATGGATTTTACATGTTGAAAACACAATTGTCTGACTATCACTATAAAAATTATGGGTTGAAATGCTGTTTGTGGTTTTATATTTCAAAAAATGTTGGTGTTTAAGTAAGTTATGCCTAAAATCTTGAATAACCTACACTTTACAAAACGTGTCATCAAAAAGATAATCTTCTTTTCTACTGCTACTGATGGTAGAATGTTCCTTGCCTCATAATTAATTTTTAAGAGAATTCCAAGGCTGATACCCATTTGTGGACACTGTTTATTGGGGTTGGTAGTCTGAGTTTTTCCCCTTTTCTCTATTCTATTATTAATCGCACTGGAAATGTACTCATTATTTTAGAAAACAGAAAATGAGTGTGTGCGGAGCGTGGAAGGTATAATTTCGGCCCAGGGGAATTTACAGGCTGGGTTAAGATTCCAACAAAACAGCAAAAAGAGTAAAACTTAAAGTTGAGAATTGAAATAGCATCCTTCATGGAGAAAAACAAAGTTGGCATGGGAAAAAAAATGCTGATAAAATGACCCAGAGCAGTGGTTTTCAAAGTGTGGTCTCTGGACCAACAGCATCAACATCACCTGGAAACTTGTTACAAATGCAAATTCTCAGGCCCTGTTCCCTGACCTGGTGAATTAGAAAATCTGGGAGTAGAGCCCAGCAAGCTGTGCTTTGAGGAGCTCTCAGTGATGCTAGTGTGCACCCAAATGTAAGGACCACTAATACACTTTGACACCCCCAGATGCCACTTTGGTAGTACGCCCATTCTATTGCTTAATCTTTGTGGCATCGCTGAGCGGTAAATGGGAAGAAACTGAGGCACAGAAACATCAGACCAACCTTAAAAGTCACTTATGTTCTTACAGCTAAATCTCTTGGCCTAAGGAGCTCCCCGTCACATGGTTTGATGGAGTTCTCTCTGCAAGTGTCCTCTTGAGGGTGGGACTGAGTGATAGGGAGACTGGTAACTATGGAGACCAGCTGAGAATGAATGGCTGCCACACAGTGCCGCTGTCGTCCTGTTCACCAAACATCTGCTGAGTCCTTCCCATGTGCCGAACTCTGTGCTGGGTACTGGTGGCAGAGGCTGGCCCAGGAAGGACATGCTAGAAGTAGGCAGAGGTGTGCAACTAGAAACTACAAGCTCATGTATCAAGAAGATACCAGTGGGCCCATTTCCGCAAGGGCAGGTGGGGATGTATTCTGGTTCTAGCAGGTCTGACAGGTCACCAGGTAGGTCCTTGCACTGGGAGCAGAATCTCACCCATAGGAGAGCGATTGTCAAGAGTTTAGCTATAGAACAGCCTCCCAACACGGTGTCTCGAATTCAGATTAAGACCTTTATCCAGTTAAGTTGGAACCAGGACAGATTTTCATGTAGGAATCTGGAAGAAGAGAGATGACATTCCCAGGCTTCTGGTTTGGATGCCTGGGAGATGAATGATGAGGCTATTTTCTGAGATGGAAAACACAGAAGATGGATTAGGAGCAGAAAGCTAGTTCAGGTTTGAATCTGCTGTGTCTGAGGTGAAGCCTCACAGCAGGTGATGGAATATGTAAATCTGGAGTTCGGGAGAGACCAGCAGATTACGTCTTCTTTCAAGAGAACTACCTGATTGCACCTGGATTTTGAAATCAAAAGAACTTCTTAGCACCAATGAAAGCAATGTAATTCTCTTTCTTCGTGCTGTTCTCTTGAGATGCCTCGTTCATCTTTTTTTTTCCATACATCATTTTGTTCCCTTTGCTCAGTTTAATCATTCACCATCCTTCCTGAGATGCAGGCCTGGGGAGCAAACATGCTAATGTACATCAAAGTGCTTTGAAAAGCTCAAAATGCTCTTTAGATGCCTGTAATGAAACATATCATTATTTGTTGCTACTGTTGTTGTGGGTGTTCTGATTATGCATCATGATTTCAAAACCAGAAGTCTTACTTGTCTGTTTCTCTGGACTGACTGGCATGTGGAAGGGTGGGCCATGTTCTTTTGTTGTTTTTCATCACCCCACAGGAAATCCCATTTCATAACACGATGATCGTACATACTGTAGTCTGGACTCTCAGAGGTTTTCTGCTCTAGGACAGCGGGTGGTTTCCTCTGGTACATCCCCAACAGCAGATGTCCAATAATGGGAGTTGGGTCCTAGAAGGACTCTCTGGTGCCCGCCCAGTCACACCTTGAATGCCCCCTCTGATGGGATGTTCATGTTCTCTCGTGGAAGACAAGTCACTGCTGAGAGTCCTGGGTGGTTATTATCCTTCTCTACCCAGTGTTAGCCTGGTTATCATAAGACTCTGAATGGGGTCCTATGTGGGAGCAGAGAGTATCCATTAGGTTAAAAGAGTAGGGGCAGTAGGCAGGTTAGTAGCATCAACTATCTGGAGTCCTCAAGGAGAGCCGAGGGCAATGGCATTGAGAATGGGAGCCACCATCAGTAAGTGAGGAAGGCCGGCAAGAAGATGAGAGGTGTAGACACCGTCCTGGTCCAACATGGCCCTGCA